CCCCAAAACCCCAAAACCCCAAAACCCCAAAACCCCGTAATTAATGATGTGGCTGAATTATAATAGATTTAAAATTAATAGAAATAAAACCCTCAGAATAATATAATAAGCTTTCGATTAAACTCTGATTAATAATCTTTGAATGAATAATAAAAGCAGCAAAAAACTCTACTAATCCTCAAATATAATATCCTCCCAGAAGCAAATCTAGTAAAAGGTCTAGTCCTCTCCAAGCAAACCAAAGCACACTGGGACAAGAGTAAGAAGTAAAAATGGCAGTGTAGATGTAACTGAGATACATATTGATTAGATTAGGCCCAAGTTTAATAAAGCAGCATTAGGCCACTCTAATGTAAAGCTAAATGATGGTGGTGAAGACAATAATGGGCCAAAAGCAGCCTATGCATCATTCAACCTAGCTTCAGATAGTACTACACCTGTTATTATAAGTGTTAAAGGACATATGCTCTCAAATCAAAATAACGAAAGTCAAGATTTTTCCAATTTCACATTTGACTAAAGAGAACAGACAATACAGCCAGATAAAGTCAAGAGAAGAACAATAGATCTTACCTAGTCGGTCCAACTTAACTCAAATGATGCATTATTACTAGTTGGATATACAACTTCGGCACCAAAAAAGCATGATAGGAATCAATCAGTCTCAAGTTAGAAGAGTAATTAATCTCTTTGTAAAGAAAGAAGGTCTAGAAAAGAAAGATTAAACTAAAAGAATTGGGATTAACTAAACTCATCTAACATAAGCTCAATAATGGAGGAAAATTAGGGTGCATTGCATCTCAAGATACTTAATCCAGAGCAACAAGATAAAAACAGATTTAACCATTCCTTCGATGAAACTCCTGGATTCAACCAGCAACTACAAAGAGAGGTATCTCTTGATAAGCTCTTATCTAAGGTTGAGAACGGTGGGAAAATCTTGAATTTTGCTTAGAATGCAGCAGCGATTAAGATACAAAGGGTCTATAGAACTTTCAAGATTTGGAAACTTATTAAGAGAATGGCTGCATAAAAAATAGAGAATAAGTAGTAGGCTAGACTCTAGAGAATATTATCTGCTAAATTTATTGTAAGAAAAATTAAACAATGGCTTTTGAGAAAGAAAGGAAGGGAACAAAGAAGATTCATCATTTATTGCCTGGTGAGAATTTAAAGGTGGATGAGATAAAAGCTTTTCTAAATAAAGTTGAGAAATTCCAAATAGAAGCTTGAAGCTCTGAGCAATGGTTGGAGACTACGAAGGTGCCTGAGTTTACTTGAGTATAAAGTAAGAGACTTTGTAGATGAGACAGATTAGAAAAAGAAGAATAAATAGAGAAGACGGTTTCACCAAATGTTGGAAAAGGTGCTGTAGAAGAAGCTCTATATCAAGAAATATATGAATTAGGATATTGAAAATAGTAAAGCATAGAAGCTGATGTATAAGAGCATGATTGTCTCTCCTAGAAATAGAGCTGACTCTAAAGAAAAGAAACTTACTAGGCAAAAATCTGCTGTTCTTGAGAATAACAATCTTAGTAGTACTATGAATATGTTCAGAGGTAGAAAACCATGGAATAACTCTCTGAATAAGGATATCAATCAAGTACTCAAGAAGGATTTAGTTGATCCTAAGCTTGAGAGATCCAGACAACAGCAATAGACCAAAAAGCCTAGAGCTGATCTGACTAATCTTAGTTCACTTGATAAAAACAATCAAACCAATTTGTTCAGGATCAACAATGAATCGAGAAAGTCCAATCACATGTACTAAATGCTTAAGTACACAAGTGCAGAAAACACAACTAGCAATAGAATGAAGAATGATATAAAGTCTAGGATCATTGCTGATCTTGATAAACAAAATGAAAAGGTTAGCTTTCTTCTTAGCAGAAAGAATATCAGAGATACTGATAAATAGAAAGTATCTAAGGTCAATACATCCTAAGTCTTGAGAACAGAGCACAGTCCTACATTTTAAAGAACTGCTTATGGAGCTAAGCTCGTTTGTAATCAAATGAGAAGTTCAATTATGACTCCATAAAGGAGACTTGACAAAAGCCCAGACAGGTTCAACTATCTATCAGGGGTCCCCTAATCTGACAAAAAGGCTATCTAGAGTGAGAAGGAAAAGATTTTGAGGATTCAAAATTAGTATAAAAAGCAGTTTGCTGAATTAGAGAGTCTCATGGATTACATTGTTGATTAGGAGCTGTCAAACTATGATTCAAAATGTTAAAACAACAAGTATGAAGCCATGGTTAGCTAAAAAGCTAAGCTATTCATTAAGAGCTAGGTAAGTAATTCGATTTGTTAATTAAATATAGAAATTACATGGGGACATTAAAGAGGCAATGGACAAAATATTCAATCACAGCAAAAGAAAGTACATGAACTGAAAAATAAATGTAGTCATGAAAAATAAATATAATAGCCTAGTAAATTTAACCTTTAATATACAAGATTAATTTCATCAATTAAGTTTATTCAAATCATGTTACTTCCAAAGATAATGTATCATGGGGTTTTGGGGTTTTGGGG